ATTTAGATATTGAAAAGGGATAATAAATCTTAAATTAGAAATTAAAATTATATATCTTAATAAAAGAATATCAAAATGCAAGAATATCAAACAACTACTTTTTCCTTGCTAAGTTTTGAAATTTTAGTTTTTTTACGATATTGAATTTTTGAGGGCGTGTTTTGCAAATTTTGAAACTTTAAAAGTATTTTTTTTTTAAATTTTTTTAATTTTAAATTGGATGCTTATAATTTTCATGTTTCATGTGTCGATGGTAAGTTTTTACAACTTTAAAATTTTAATGGTGTTTTCTTTTGCAATTATTATACTTTTGATTATTTTTCGTAAAATTCAAACTTTTAGCAGTCTGCTAATAATGTGTAGATGTGATATGTACCGGTTATAGGTTTTGAAATTTTGGGGGTTTTTTGTGATTTTTAATTTTTGATGGAGCAATTTTTACAATTTTTATAACTTTAAGGTAATTTTTTGCAAATTTTAAAGTGTCTGATGATAATCCTTGGAATTCATCCTTGTTGTTTACAAGTTTTAAAATTTTAGAATTTCGTAGTTATTTTTTATTATTTAAACTTTGAGGGTGTTTTTATATTTTTTGAAACGTCGAGGGTGTTAATTGCAGATTTTAAATTATTCAGAGGTTGCTATTAGAATCCGGATGTTTTGTATAATTTTAAACTTTTGAGGGTATTTTGTGTAATTTTTGTAACTTTTTAGGTTATTTTTAAATAATTCATATATTATAGCATGTTAGTTTTTTAACTTAACAAACTAACACCGTGCAGCTATCTCATGTATTTTGTTAATCTTGTTTTTTTTTAATTGTTCAGTTGAAAATAGTTCACGTGGGGTTATGATAGGATATAATTATGATTAGAATAGATTAAGATTTAAATTAAATATTTAAAATAATAAAGAGTAATATTGATATATTTTATTAATCTTATTTTTTTAAATTGTTGAGCTGTAGTTAGTTCATAAAAAATTAGGATGTTATATAATTATAATTAGATAATATTTAAATTAAATATTCAAAATAGTAAAAGATAATATTATCTACAAAAAGATTGTATCAGAGCCAGGTTTCGATCCTGGGACCTGTGGGTTATGGGCCCACCACGCTTCCGCTGCGCCACTCTGATTTTATTAGGAGTCACGTCATTTTCGCGTCAAACGAGGAATGAAATCGAGGTAATTTAGGAACTTCCGGTGGGCCAAGAAGCAGGCCTTAGAAAGAGCCGACGCCATTCCCGGCCTGGAATGAAGTGAACCTGGACTTCATTTTTGTTTGACAGGGCCATTGAGACCCACCTTTAAAGCGCGGACATCTGAAGCCCATGAACAGGCCTATCATCAACCGCAGCACGTGGTCGTAAGTAGGCTTTAAGTTCTTTAGCCCACCACAATGCGACGAAGATTATTGCACAGAAATAGTGCCCATCAAAGATAAAAGTCTACGGGGTCAGTTAGGCGAAGTGCTGCCTAATCAAATAACTACCCTACATCAGTTGAGTTGTGAGCCCAGTAAATATCTAAACATTAGCCTAGCGAAAATTGTCCAAGTTCTGGTCTGACTATTTGCCAAACTAGGTTGAATTTTCTAGACTGGTACATAATTCTCGTTGCAAGCTGATCAATGAAAGGAATTAAAAGCGTAAACCTTGATAGAAAAAGTGGAATACAGTAGCTTGAGCTTTAATCCGATTAAAGTGGTCTTCAGCCTACTGTGGTCGCCCTCGTCAGAGAGAATCCTTTTTGAATGGGAAGTGAAAAATAATACTCCAGCTAGAGAGCGTGTATATAATTTTGGATCTTAGAGTCCGCTCAGCAACTGCATTTGAACTGATTTAGTGGAATGAAAACAGTTTTAGTCGAGGCCCTAGTTTGACAAATACCCGGATCGATCAATATTTAAATTACACAATTTTCGGTCTTGACTAGCTTAGAACTAAAATGGTTTAAGGTCACCTTGCCAAACTGAGCCTTGCAGTGTGATACTTGTTATGGTGTTTTTAGTCGTCAAAATGTGGTCATTTGCCAGCAACGGGCAGGCGCCCCCCTACATGCACCGCTCAAATCGAATTGACGATCAGGACCGTCAAGATCCTGACTTAGCCGACTCGTCGAGTAGACATCTCCTTTGGTCGACTCGAAGGGCGGTGCTTGTCGGTCCTCGTGTCGAAGACGACTCCCTACGAGTCCCCTCGACCAGTTATTCGACACCTCGTGAGGTCGACTTGAATGACATTACTTCTCGACACCCCTCGCTACAATCCAAAAGACAACTTCAACCTCAACCCCCCCCCCCCC